AGTGTGCACAGATTTGCAAAGGCTGCCCCTGAAGTCCCGCCAGATGGAGTGGTCACAGCCTGTGTTGTGGCCAGGCCAGATGTGGCCCTCAAGCTGGTTGTGATCCTTGCCAAGCAGATGGGTGCAGTGACCTGGGGGTGGGAAGGAGGTGCAGGGAGAGGTCAGGGGTGGCAAGTCCTGACTGGTAGGTACCAGCTGAGTTCCTGGTCTGTGCCTTCGGGCGAGCGGAGACTTCTGCTAATGAGATCTCCCCAGAGTGCCCCAGCAGATCTGCCAGAGGCCAGGGAAGAACATTTTTGGTTTTTGGTTTTTGGTTGCCCACAAGCTTGTCAGACTTTTGTGATCCAAAACACATACAAGTATGTCCCCTGCAGTATTTGCTACAGTATTTGGGAAGAATTAGAAGTTCTAGAACTAGAAGACCTGGGGCAGCTCAGACTGCCGTAACCAAGAACCATAGACTGGGGGGCTCAAGCCACAGACATTCCTTGGACAGCACTGGGACTTTCAAGATCAAGGTGGGGACGGGCTGGTGTCTTCAGAGGCCTCTCCTTGGCCTGCATCCTCACGTGTCTTCCTTCTGCACGTGTGGGTCCCCTTCCCCTCTTCTCAGACACTATGTGATTAGAAAGAATGAGGGAGATCTACGCGCATGGGCAGGAAAAGAGTTCCATTGTTAAATGGAAAAAGTAGGTTGCAGAACTAAAATAAGCACAGTGTGATCCTACTTATGCACTTGAAAACCAAGTGTTTATTTTCATTTTTGTCCATAGAAGGGATACTCATGGTGGGTCCTTCTGGAGAGGGAACAGAATTAGAGGTGAGGGTAGGGGAAGGAAATTTATACTTGTGTATGTGAGTATGTGTGGCACCTTGGATTTTGGTTCTCAACTCTTCCCCCCTTTCCTTTGCCTGAGATTCTGTAGTCCCTCCCACTGTGGGCCCAGTATGTCTCTCTGCCCCACTGATGTTGAACTTGGACTCTGTGACTTGCTTGGGCTATTGGATTTTTTTTTTTTTTTTTTTTTTGTACCAGGGATTGAAACCAGGGGAACTTAAAACACTGAGCCACATCCCAACCTTTTTTATATTTTATTTTGAGACAGGGTCTTGCTGAGTTGCTTAGGGCCTACTAAATTGCTGAGGCTGGCTTTGAACTTGTGATCCTCCTGCCTTAGCCTCCCCAGCTGCTGGGATTACAGGTTTTGTGCCACCTTGCCTGGTGGGCTATTGGAATTTTGATGAACAGGCTTCCAAGCAGGTGTTCGATTCCTTGTGGTACCTGGGTATCTCTAATACCAGGGGCTGGGGAAGGGGGTGTGAGGAACTATTAATTAATAAGTATAGGGTTTTTCTGTTTGGGATGACAAAAAAGGTTTTGGAAATAAGTAATAGTTTCAGAACATTGAGAATGTGCTTAATACTACTGAATAATATGGTTTAAAATGGTTAAAATGGTAAAATTTTTTGTTACATATATTTATAACAACTGAAAAATAATCTAACATTCCCAAACTCATTCAAGGGCACAATTAAAATGGGCTAATTATACATATGTGAATTATATCTCAGTAAAACCTTTTTTAAATAAAGAAAAATGCATATTTATTATTTAAGCCATTAAGTTTTGGATTGTTTGTTAAGCAGCACTACGGTTTCATTAGCTGACTGATACAGTTTGTATGTATGTATATATTTTTATATTTTTTAATGAAAACATATTATTTGTGTAATAGAAAGTATGCAACCCCAGAATTTATCAGGTTCCCAGAAACAGACCTCTTTCCCATTGTCCTCCCTGATGGTGGCACCAGGATGTTTCTGGACATTGCTCATCCTGATCTGGAGCAACTCTACCTTCTGCTGATAGTAAGCAAGACCCCAGTCCTGACCCCTGTGCCCACTTGGTGCCTCCTCTTTGTGTCTGCAACCATTTCCCAGGACACGTTCTCATTGCTTGGTGCTGGTGCCAGGACTGTGGTCAGCATTTCCCAGGTAGTCTCCCTGCCTGGGCCCATCCAACACAAAGAACAAATCACTCAACACGTTTCCATTCAGTTACCCTGCCCAGCCAGCCCTGAGCCAGCCTACACACACACACACACACACACACACACACACACTCCACTTTGTGACATGAGCTTACAACAGCCTCCACTGCCTGTCAGGTCAAATCCAAACCCCATCAAATGCCATCTGGACGTGTACATGGAGCAATCCCACAGAGAGTGTTTCTGAAATTGGTGACCTGGAGAGAGTTGCTGGGGTCAGGCTACTGCTCTTTCCCCATCTACCCTTTTCACCCCCAGTGTCTTCCACCCTGCAGGATCTCAGTACAGACTGCGAAAACCTCCAGCACTGCAAACAAAAGCAATACGCAGAATGCTGGTTTAGAAGCTGGGAAAGTGAATGACTCTAGTGACAATCGTGACTTCCAGTTTAAAGCTGAAAGGGAACCCAGCAAGCTTCTAGACTGATGGAAATAATTTTTGATTATCGATTCTTAGGAAATAACTTGAAATGTATTTAAGGGGTAGAACTTTAGTGTTATAACAGCTTTAACAAAATTCTCTCCACCCCTTTTTACTTCTTCACAGGAACAACTTTCTCAGCCTGTACATTCTATAAATGTGAAAAACAGGAAGAGTTAATAGTGGGCGGGGCGGGTATCAGGGATTGAAACCAGGGGCTTAACTACTGAGCCACATCCTCAGCCCATTTTTATTTTGAGACAAGGTAATACTAGGTTCCTTAGGGCCTCCTATGTTGCTGATGCTGGCTTTCAACTTGCCCTTTCTCCTGCCTCAGCCTCCCCCACCAAGCCTCCCCAACACTGGGATTACAGGCTAGTGGTATTGCACCTGACTTCATGGATATTCATTTTTGATTGATTTATATTTTTCCATGTAATACTTATTTTAAAAATATATACATATATTTATGATTGAGTACTTATAAAAGTAATGATATGTTAATTTAGAAGAAAATTTTGACATTCAGTATTAGATATGGAAAATGAAAAACCCCAAAATAGTGAGGCCTGGGAAAGGGAATGAAAAAGAAAGCCATACGTTGATAGCTTTCATCTCTTTCAAGACAAACAGCTTTCCAGAGAGTGGCCGCTGATGGGGAGAAAGTGTTTTATCAAACCTAGAATGATAGTCTCTAGGAAACACTAATCTCTTCCAAGATAAATCCTGGCTACCACCCGTAACCCCAAAACCCAAATTCCTGAGTGCCCAAATTGACATGCTCACCAAATCACCTCTATAAGCCCAAACTCCTTCTGTGGCCAGGGGCTCATTTTCCACAAGGAGGATGGGGCCATTCCCGTGGGTGTAATCCTGCTTCTGAATAAAAGGCTGAAATGATTCGTCAAGTTTGCCATTGGCCTGGTCCTTTCGCCCGAACACTCAGGGACTTATGGTCCCAAGAAAAAGTGTCCATTTATGAAATATTTGTATTGCTGAGGGGCACACTAAGTGATCAATAAATGCTGAGGGTCACACTAAGTGATCAATAAATGCATTCGAGCATAAAATATGTATTATATGAAGAAAGATTTTGGAGGGGGGAATAGTATGAAAATATGAGTTCAAGTGGGAAATAAAATGTAAACTTTCCAAATGTTAAAGAGAAGCTTATTGTGGATGTGTAACGGATGTGATTCTGCAATCTGTATTTGGGGTAAAAATGGGAGTTCATAACCCACTTGAATCTAATGTATGAAATATGATATGTCAAGAGCTTTGTAATATTTTGAACAACCAATAAAAAAGAAAAAAAAGAGAAGCTTATTTGTGTTCGTTCAACACAGATTCTGGTTTATGTGGTATCCATGGGGGGTGGTGTGTGTCTAGATTTCATTCAGAACACTTTAGAACACCTTATACTCAGTTATTCTTTAAATTAGCATTTACAAAATACACTGAAATCACATCTTTTGCAGCTGCTTGAACTTACAATGAGAAAGTTTAGATGACATTAGGAGAAGGAGGTTCATAGGTAAATTATTTTAAGAAATGCGCGAGAGGAGAACTGCTGGGCTCTTTGCCTAACTCTTGGAATTACTTTGCGCTTCTGTAAGAGAAGGGTCAAGGGCGTTGGTAGTCTGACCCCCCAGGGCCTTTTGAGAAAGGGTTCAGGGAGATGACCTCATCAGGAGGACAGGAGGACATAGGGGAGAAGGCAGATAGGGAAGGAAATGCGGGTCAGGTTTCACAGGGAGCTGACCTTTGACGGGATTGACCTGGCGCGAGGAAGCGACCTGATCGCAATAAGCTGCCCAAGGGTGGAAGGGGCCAGGCAAGCCCAGGCCGAGAGGGCAACCCTTGCAAAGGCCTCAAGGTGGGAAGGGCTGGGGGCGGGAAGGGCCTGTTCAGGGTGCTCCCCTGCGGGCTCAGCCAGAGAGTCCTGGCCAACAGTTACTAGTCAGATCTGGGGTCGCCGCCTGCAGACACCTCTCTGCGCAGTCTCACCCCTGCGCCTTCGACCCGCTGGGGACGTGCACAGACCACCTGTCTTCCCGACTCAGGAGGGATTCCTCCAGAGCTTCCGCGAGGTGCCAGGAGCGCCCGCCGGGGTCCTGCAGGAGCCTGGGCTTCCTCAAGGCAGTGAGTGTTTCAGTATATTCAATGGTTCAAAAAAAAAAAAAAATCTTTGATAATTAGAGGCATTTGTATTTAAAAGTTAGAAATACTTTAAAAAAATTTTTTTTAGTTGTAGATGGGCACAATACCTTTATTTTGTTTACTCAGTTCTTTTATGTGGTGCTGGAGATCAAACCCATGCCTCATGCATGCTAAGACAAGTGCTCTACACTGAGCCACAACCCAGCCCTAGAAACACATTTTTGTTGTTGTTGTTTTTAGCAGAATATTTGCTCCGCCCACCACTCTGTTCCTTCCGTCATCGGTCATCCACGAACCGGTCTAGATTGTGCTGGCTACCCTTGCTCTGGGCTGCATCTGGCACCCTGCACGTGCTCTAGCCCTGTGGGGAGTCGGTCCGAGTGGCCAGGTCAAAAACCCAAGCCCTCAAGCTTTCCCAACCTCTAAACCAGCTTTCTCCGTCTTGCTTTTATTTGCAGTGCTGGAGGTTTTCACAGTCACGTAGGGAGATCCTGGGTGAAGGGGTAGCTGGGGTAAGTAGCCTCGGGTAGAGTTCATTGCAAATTACATTTTGTCTTTACCGCCCTCCTGCTCCTCTTCTTCCCTCCTTTCTTGCCCTCCCTCTCCTTTCCCTTCTTCCTAGTTTCTGCAGATTGTCTTTTAATTAATTTAAACAGGTAACAGATTCATATAGTTCAGGTAGTTTAAAGAATAAACTATTCAAAGGCATACAGTAAAAAGTGTGCATTCTAGCAAAACGGTTTAGGCAGGTTCCAACACGGAGGAACATTCTACAAAACCCTGCCCAGTGCTCTTCAAAACTAGGGAAAGTCTGAGAAACACACAGCCAAGAAGGGCCTGAGACAAGACCATTAAATGTGCTGTGGTCTCTTTGATATGATCCTGGAACAGAAGGGACACTTGGTAAAAGCCAAGGAAATCTGAATCAAGATGTATCAACACTGGATCGTTTGTTGTAATAAACATATTTCAATGTAGGATGTTAATAATAGGGGAAACTGGGTGTGGACTTTATGGAGAGTCTTAGTTTTTGCATTTTCTCTATGAATCTAAAATTGTTCAAAAATAAAGTTTATTTTTTAAAAAAGTCTTCATATCACCTCTGCCCCCAATTGTGCAGTTTCCACACCTGTACGTATTAATTATTGGTCTTGTGTGTGTGTGTGCACGTGTGCACGTGTGTACCTTTCAGAGATTTAGTGTGCAAACAGCAGCAAATTTAAATATCCCTGCCCCTTTTACAGAAATGATAGCTCACCAATGCTCAGTTCTGTGATTGCTTTCTTCTCTTGTTTCCTGGAACAACACAGTGTTTCTTCTTGTTAACAGCCTGGTCCTCATTCCTGTGGCCTGTTGATGTCTTGCCCTTGAGGTTGATGGAGTTGGGCTGTTTCTTTTCTTTTTTTATTTTATTTTTTATTATTAATTGTTCAAAACATTACAAAGCTCTTGACATATCATATTTCATACATTTGATTCAAGCGGATTATGAACTCCCATTTTTACCCCGTTTCCCCCCCTCCCCCAACTACAACTTTAGGGAATACCCCTGGACATGTGGTAATTTATTGGACAACTTCTCAGTCGCTGGACTGCCAGGTCCTGAGTGGGTCCGTTTGTAACTGCGGTAGACGGGGCAGCTGAGATTTAATCCTCACGACACTGGGCGCCTTCTCAGGCCTGGCGATCTGGGTATCAGGGTGAGCCTGCAAGATCTGTGTGACACCGGGGTGACACCCCGAGTCTGCCTTCTCAGGGCCGCTCCAGCGACCTTATCCCCAGCATCGCCCGAGGACTGGGCAGGTGGGAGCTTCCCGAGGTTGGGGTAGGTCAGAGCTTTCCCAGCACCGGGTGTCCCGACTCCTCTCTCCTTCCTCACTCCGGGGGCCACCCGGCTGCACCCTCCCTGGACTGGAACTCCTGGTCCAGCCCCCTCTAGGAGGCCTGGCAACCCCCTGACCATCCTCCAGGGCTCCCCTTCCCCAGCAACTCTAGTCCTGCTGTCAAATATTTCCCCAACTCCTTACACTAATTCATACCCCCTTCTCTTTCCAATTCTGGGTAATTTTTAAAATTTTCGTTCTAAGCATTTTCTAAGGACAATTTTCAGATAAAGAGAAAAATTGACAACTGCACAGTGACTATCCCTATCCTCCCCACCTAGGGCTAGGTTAAGACCCTGCTCCTCTCGCTGTGGCCCGAGCCACCTCCCAGTTCCTAAGTCTGTGTGTCCCTCAAACTGTCTCGTCTTTGTCACCTTCAGCCTGCGGGTTTCGGAGCACTTCCCGGAGAGCTGTGCCCGTCCTCGGCTGGAGTTCCTTTCAATGTACCTTTCAGAGATAAAATCTACATACGCCGAAATACACACATCTTTGGTGTGCCTTAGTCTGGTTGGGTTTAGATGGTACGCGAAAATGTCTTTTTTTTTTTTTTTAACAGTTAAGTATTTGTAACGCGAGTGAGAGAAGACCCCCACCTGTTTTCCATTTGTACTAGTGACACGAAGTTCCCTTTAAGGGTGGGTGTATCTAAATGAGCCGATATAAAGAACTGGGGGTGGGGGAGGGTAGAGAGGGGAGGGCGGAGGGGAGGAGAGGAGGCGACCCTGATGCTGAGGCTGTGGCGATGGGACACCTCGAAGCCTGGTCTCGGCGGGGACCTTTGTGTGGCGGTGGAAACCTGGGGACCGGGCAGGACTTGGGGTCTGCGGTGGGGCGCGCGCGTGCGCCTGCAGATAGATCATGACCATCCTGTTCCCGCAGCTCTATTCCCTAGGCCGAGCGTCCCTGTGAACGCAGCACCCAGTACAGGGCCAGGAACACAGTAGGTGCCTAATGTTTCAAAAGATCACGAGTGTGCCAACGCTTTGTTAGCATTGTACAAAATAAGAGTTCACAACAGCAGGAAGAATTCCCGTCTCCCTGGGGCTTCTCTTCCTAACTCCACTGTGCTGCTCAGCTGACTTGCTCCAGCTTCACAGCCCCTCAGAGTGCAGTATTTGTTGATTGGCAAACAGCAGGGCAGGCGGAGAAGGGCGCTAGGCAGGTGGACAGGTTTCACCCGTCGCGGAGGCTAAGAGCATCGACAATTTCAGGCTGGAAATAGCCCACGGAGACAAGAAAACCAAACCAAACCAAACCGAACGGTATCTTCTGAGCGTGCGCATTGAGTTCGTCACTAGCCTCATTCTTCTGTAGTCTAAAGCAGCTTCTAGGTGCCTCGTTAGCGCAGTAGGTAGCGCGTCAGTCTCATAATCTGAAGGTCGTGAGTTCGATCCTCACACGGGGCACAATACTTTTGATCTCAGTTTCTTCATCCTTGCGGGGTAAACCCGGGTTTTATTTGCTTGTCTGTCTGGGGCCGACCTTAAGAAGGGACGTAACGGGAAATATTGCCCACGCTAGGTAGCTCGGGACGAGAGCCTGGAGTCGCACCGCTGCCTACCCACTACTCCGAGTTCCCTGCCCTTGCGGTTGAGCGTTGACTGTCGCGGGGCACAGGGACACCTCTGGCCTGAGCCGGGACCACCCTGTGCGCAGAATACAGAAGGTCGATGGGTCGCAGCAGAGTAGGGCCCCTGGGACCGAGGCCCGGGCGTAGTGACCCGGAGCACCGTGAGGCGGGGAGCGAGGGCGACGTGTGAACAGATGCTGGACAGCAGAGAGCATCGAACACTATGGCGGGGAGTTGGGGCTGCGGAAGGGGGAGTGACCGGCTGTGATGGGACCGGGAGAAGGGACCCCAGGAATCACGGGGGCAGCTGCTAGGGCGCAGCAGGCCAGGGGCTGTGTCGTGGCTGCATCGAGAGCTGCTGCAGCTACTGTGTCACTCATTCTCAAAGATCATCTCCCCTCTCCACAGGTGAATTGCAAATTACAGGAGATGTGACAGCGGTTCCCTGCTCCTCATCTTCCAGTCTCTGCAAGTCCCAGGGAAGACTGCGGTGATACTTCCGGTTTACTGTCCTGGCATGGAGGTCCTCCCAGGAGCTCTCACTTGGCTCTTTCTAGGGTAATAGCCCTTACTCAGTGGATCACAGGCCGCGGTGCAGATTCTGTCATTTACCGGTCTATGTTTATTCCAGTTATTTGGATACTCGGGGAAATAGGCACAGGTTAGTTCTGTGACCCTATTCACCTGCGGGTAATGCAAATTTTGCCCACGACTCCTTGATCACCTGAGCCCATTACCTCTGAATTTCCCTGATGGGCCACAGTAGTGAGCATCAATTCGGGGTCTAGAAATCCCTGTAAGGTCTGGGTGTTTTCTTTAGTATACAATCATTCAAGTAAAGGGCCACAGGTCCCCTCAGGAAACCTTAAAGAACACTTACAGCATGCAGTAAGGTCTTTTCTCAAGGGGATCTGGACTCTTTCAATCAAGTGGCTTTTTTTTTTTTAATACTTTCTTTTAACTTGTGAGACAAGTGCTCTACCAGTGAACCACAACTCTAGCCCCAAGAAATGCTTTTTTTAAAAAATATTTTTTAGTTGTTGATAGACCTTTTTTTTAAAAAAATTATTTATATGTGGTACTGAGAATCGAACCCAGTGTCTCACACCTGCCAGGCAAGTGCGCTGCTGCTGAGCCACAGCCCCTCCTCTCAAGTGGCTTTAGGTCTGGAAACTGGGTGGCAGGCATGACTCCAGTTAACTCATCAGGCTTTTGGCCATCAGGTTGGTGTTTATCCTGTTATATATATGGAATTTCATTTAATAGGCTTCTTATGTATTTCATTCTTTGTGACACTAATCAATTATCAACAAAGACCCCTTAATGCTACTAGTTCCATGCTGCCCTTTGCTGTAGATAGTTGTCTTTGGCAATTCAACGCTGCTACTTGGCTTCACTAGCATGGAATCTCATTATCAGAGGTGGCCTCCCTTACTGTCACATATTGTCTGCAGAGGGGAGCCACCATGGAGCTTTCTGGTTTGCAGATGCTTCCTTCACTCACTGCCTTAAAGAAGGAAGAGTCTTTTAGGACCAGAGTACATAGTTTGAAGGTATGGAGGTCCATATGTGATAAATCCTTTCTGTCTAAGCTTTGGCTATATTCATCGACATCATACCAGTGAAATCCTGTCATTCTTATCAAATAGAGGCCAATATCGAGTCCACATTTGTCAGCCAACCATGTAAACTGTAGAGCCACTTCCAATTGCACAAGGGTGCTGGTTATCCACTGACTGCCTCTCAGTCCCTGCTCTGCAGTAATGGCCTGGACTCTTCCGCATTTCTTTTCTTAGTGTGCATGCTATTCAGCTGTCAATAGAGGGTGCTGGAGGGACACTGCGGGAATGGGGCTTCTCTTCCTAACTCCACGGTGCTGCTCAGCTGACTTGCTCCAGCTTCATAGCCCCTCAGAGTTAGCATGGGTGGGAGATCCAGGGGTGCTCTTCTGTAGTCATGTGCCCCAGGGAAGTGCAGTCTGCTCCTTTACTCCATTGCTCTTGACTGCCCCAGTTCGATGACCACTTCACTGCAGTCCTTTGATGACACTGGCATGTTCCAGGTGAGCAGCAGCATCCTGATGCACTCTGAGCACCTGCACATCAGCCTTGGACTGCCTGTGGCTGAGGATTGTTTCCTGTGGTCCTCTTGATTGCACAGTGCACACACCAGGCCACACTCCAGCCTGAGGAGGGGTCCTGATACCTTATGCACTTTTACCCACCAGCTTTGGATGATGTGCTGTGGATGTGGACTAGCTCTGGCCTGGACAACCCGCGAACCACTCCATTCTCCACCCCTTCTTGGACATGTCTGACCCTGAACCTTGGAACAGAAGGGGGCTCCCTTTCCAAAGCCGTCCTTCCTTGAGAGCTCCCCCTCCATCTGTGGCACCCTTTAGAGTTCTCTTTACTTCTTCATAGTTGCTTCCCATCAGCTTAACAAGTCTTTTATGTTATACCTCCCTCATTGTGTGGTTTGTCTCCTGAATGGACCTAGACTGATATGATGAGATTAAACATTAAATTCAGAATTTCTGATAAGTTCATCTGTATTCATAAACCAAGCCTTATACACAGTTCTGTTGTGGTCAACATGTACCACTGTGGAAACATTCAAATCTTGCTCAACATTACAGAATTCATACTGGAGAAAAACTCTGTGAATGTAAAATATGAAAAGGCCTCAACTCGAGTAATTATCCCATTCAATACCATTTAATTCACTGAAAAACCCCCTCAAGTGTAGACAGAGATGGAGAGAGATTTAGCTGAAGCCCAACACTTATCTAACATGGTCCAGTTTGCACAAGATGGAAACCTTCTGAAGGTAAAAAACATGAAAAGGCGTTTAGGTATTGCTCTTCTTACACAAATTCAAGGGAGTATCGGAGAGAAACTTTCTGAATATAGCCATTGTGTCAGGCTCAACCCTTATTCGATCCCAGAGAATTCTCATTTTAAAGTAACTGGGGTAAGATTGAGGCTGTGATGCCAAGAAGACATAATCAGAAACATACTTTATGTACTTCAGCAGACATGATAGTCTTAGAAATGCCAACCAAGCACATATGACTAGAGACTCAGCCAAATATCTGAAATCTGCTAAGGCAGTGACTTTATCAAGATCGTTGTTGGGAGAAACGTAGCCCAGAGAAAACTGGAAGAATGTGATTCAAAAGAACTTCATTTGGTTGAGCAATCAGAACTCATTTTTAAAAATCAACTTTTTAAGAAACAATTGTGATACATTATAAAGCCGTACATGTGTATAGTTGCAAAACCAATCTGAGTAGTATAAATTTTAGAAAAAGAGGACCTGGGAGAGAGGTAAAAGTTGGCAATACACAGCTGATTCCTGCAGGCAGAGTCACAACATTTTTAGACTCTGCATGCTTTTAGGTGAACAAGCAATTTCTAGTTCATCCAAGTTCCCATCACACCCTATATATTTCATACCCTGTGACTCCTGTTGCAAAACACATCAGCCTGACCCATGAAGGCATATATTATAACCACTGAAAATGCACAGAAAATCAGGTTGAAGAAACTACTCTTGGGAAACCAATGCCTTGCAGTGACAGGATATTATTTTAGTACTTTGATAAGAGAACCCGACTAAGAGGATTGGTTCACTGTAAGCTTATGTGTTGAGACCCCAGGGGAAAAAAAATGACTACTGTGCTGCACACGCATTGTATGCTGAGCACTGGGTAAAGAACTGCACACGCCTCATCTATGTAGTCCTCACATAAAGGCTGGGAGCTATTTCTATTCTTCCTTTAAAAATGGGAGAGCAAGGTTCATGAAATCTTGGGTAGCCCTGCTGGGAGCGAGGAGATGAGGAGGACCAGCAGACAGCTCTGCTGAGAGCAGCACGCAGAGGGCCAGGGAAGCAGAGCTTGAGATGTCTGTGGTTGTGGTGGGGTCACTGGCAGACGAGATTCTGCTGTGGTGACACGGGGGCAGGAGGGCTGTCATTCAGGCCAAGTCCACGCTGATGGAGCCTCCAGCTGCTGCTGAGTTCTCTCAGTCCTGGTTGCATGTTGCTGAGATGGTTTTGTGGGCTTTATTTCTCCATTTATTTTAAAAATATTTTTAAAATATTGATGGATCTTTATTCTATTCATTTATTTATATGCGGTGCTGAGAATCAAATCCAGTGCCTCACACGTTAGGAAAGCGCTCTACATTGGGCCACACCCCCAACCCTCTCCTTTTATCTTTTTTTTTTTTTTTTTAATTTTTAGCTTTTAGTTGTAGTTGGACATAATATCTTTATTTTATTTATTTATTTTTATGTGGTTCTGAGGATTGGACCCAGGGCCTCGCATGTGCTAGGTGAGTGCGCTACTGCTGAGCCACAACCCCAGCTCTATCCATTTATCTTTCTTATTTTTTTTTATTTGTAGTTGAACACAATACCTTTATTTATTCATTTTTATGTGGTGCTGAGGATTGAACCCAGTGCCCCTGTCCGTGCCAGGTGAGCGCTCCACCCCTGAGCCCCAGCCCCAGCCCCTTCATTTATCTTTAAAGTAAACTTTCATTGCTAAAGTTGCTGAAGCTGGTCTTTGCAATTGAGAGCCGAACAGCTTTAAGAGTTTCCAAAAACCTTTTACTGTGAAAAGTTCAAGAAGTCATTTATAAGTCAAAAAGTATTAGAATTAAATAGAAAACATAATTTTTATGAACACATTCTTTCTATACAGAAGGATGGTCTCCATAGGAATTTAAAATAAACAATATAAAAATCAGTGTCATTGATTGCAAATAGGTATCTCCCTCTGACTATCTTGAGGTGACATGTCTCTAAGTAGCTAAAAGGTGAGGGGTCCGACATCTCTCACGAGCTTGCTCGGTGAGCCTCTGGCGGAGATTTCTTACTTTCTTGATAAGATTCTGCTCCATGCTGTCCCATTCTCTTGTTTTCCTATTTAAAGAAACTTGAAAACAAGATTTGACATTACTAGCAGTTGAATTTTCTGATGTTAGCAATGATAGAGTAATTATTTTGAAGGTAATGTGCTGCAAACCTTAATAATAAAATGAATATTGTAAAAACAAGGCTTCTTAAACAAAAAGCTGAATGAATTACCTGCCCCTAAGTAGTTCTATTTACAATTCAAATATTTATTTATAGAACTGAAGAAATGCTATCAGCAAACTTGTATATTTTAAGTGATTTAGCATTTATAAAATTTATACATTACGAACCAAGCATGACTAAGAATTTGTGTTCTTCAAAACAGTAAGCTTCCCCAGGAACTATGATGTCAATGATAACGAGAAAAGTCATTTCTAGTCACTGTGAAGTGTATTCCATGACTGCTTTCCCAATAACAAAATAAACAAACCAATGTTCTTAATTAATAGCAAAGATTAAAATACAACAATTTGTCTAAGAGTAATGGCCATTTCAAGTGGACTAAGGGGTTAGTAAATATGGAATTTGGGAGGAAAATCCACAACTTAAAAATACACTTCTGAAATTTAGTTTCATAACCAGTCAGCTTCAATTCCTGAAAAACTATTTTCTTCTCTCAAAGAACTTTCATTTTTTTTTTTTTTTCCAAACGACCTAGACTGAGCCAGTTCTTTCACTCCAGTTTGAAATTTAGAATTGTCTGGTTAAAGCTGAAGTTCTAGTTGGGCGAGAAGCACAGGCCTGCGCTCCCAGCTGCTCTGCAGGCTGAAGCAGGAGGCCAGTGCCAGCCCAAGGGGTGTGAAGGCTGCCTGTGAAACGTGGTGAGGAAGAAAAAGAGGGAGTTCTGAGGTGTCAGAATAAGAACAGTTGAGAATCTCTGTATTTCATTTGATTCACAAATGATTCTTAGTCTAATTCATATCCTGGCATAGAATATATAGGTGCATATATAACTATGAGTTACAAAAACATTTCACATAATACTGGAATCTTATGACTTATTATTAGAAATATTTCTTGTAAGTCACTGGGAAGCCAAGAACCAAGCCATGATGGTTTACAGCTCGAATGGACAAGTGCCGGAGCAGTCCTCAGGGACACTGTCTTTGATAACACATTTCTTTTGGGGAACAGTTGAATTTGTGATTTTGTTCTTCAAAATTTCCTCAAGAAGATGTGAAAACAAAAGAGGCTACAGAAACTCATTTGATTCCAGATTCGACAATGGAAGACGGTCAATAGGAAACCCTCCCTGAAGAATGGGTCAAATCAATCATCTTCGTGGTCCCAGCCCTCCTCCCATGGGTGGTGTATGAGGAAGGTAAATGTCTGCTCTAAGAGGGAGACAACTAGACGTACACATTCACGGCAGAAGGAACCTTTTGCAGGGATCTGGCCTTACCAACATGCAATTCCACAAATGCACATTTGTCTCATCTTTTTTGTATAATTTATTAAAATATTATTATAGTTTAAAAAAAGAGAAATATTTCTTTAAAAGCTCATTTTTTGGAGACCTTGCATAAAATTTTGTTCTTTTAAAAGAACTCAAAGACCTCCTTAAATTCTGCTTCATCTATTGAAAACGTCAGCTGAAAGAATGTCTAACATTACAGTTTCCTGTCCCTTCTCCCCTTTTCACAGTTAGTAATATACTTGTTAGCTCCTTTATGGGTTAGTGTGACTATACTGCTGTAAGATGCCACCCTGTCCCTTCCAAAAATAAACATGATCCCCCAGGGCATCAAGCCAAGGGATCTGAAGTCACCCACTAGCCAGCACAAAGCCTTTCATTGGCAGCAGCGCACCTGATATAGCATGGACTCCCTCCCAATGGCTGCAGAGGAAGACACAAGACAATTCACATATGTGGTAGTGCTGAAGTTTTCTTTTTGAAAGGATGTGAAAGCAGTTACAAACCTCATATTATTAATTTAGGGCCTTCAGTTAGGGCCTCTACCTCTTTTGGGGCAGCAATACTGATATAAAGAAATGGAGTGGCATGAATTCATTCAGCAGACTTTCTTTATCTGGAGTTGGTCTGTATCTGGTTTTTTCCTCTAGCTGGAAACCCGAGGGATTCTTGCTGACTCCATTTTAGGTTTTCTGCTATCAGGGACCTAAGAACCAGCACTGACATTCTATAAATATCATTGCAACCACAATTTTGCTTAAATATTGTTAAATAAAAAATGACAGAAGAAATCTTTCTTGCTTATCAACTTACTCTGTGTTGAGGAATCCATATCAGAAATGTCATTTAATTCTGAGGTTCTAGGCAAACTGCTCAACGTAACCCGTTCATTTTGCAACTGGAGCACTTCTGCTGCAAAAATGAGGTAGAGAGGATGTTCAAGAAGGAGCAGAAAGCCTTTACTAATGCCAGTGGTCCCTAGTAAATTAAAATTGTCAGACTGGGGATATAGCTCAGTTGGTAGAGTGCTTGCCTTGCATGCACAAGGCCCTGGGTTCAATCCCCAGCACACACACACACACACACACACACACACACACACACAAATTGTCAGGATGGTTAAACCCTTTCTTTTCTATTCTGAAAACATGCTACCACCATTAAATGTTGGCGTAGGATCTGTCTTCCTTAACAAGAATCCTAAAGTG